TCTCTCCAATTATTGTTTGTGACCGACATATAAAATAAATAGACCACAATGACTGGTTGTTTACGGAGAGCGTTTCCGTATGTGACAACTTATTTTTCGGTATCCACAAATTATGTAAATGTACTGATAACATATTAAGTCAGTCATTTCATTAAGAATAATTGTATTCTACATTGATATTCAATCCTTCGGAATATGAAACGCCTATGTGGATAATCCCTTGAATTGATAGCACTTTAAAATTTTACTTATACGTCATATTCTTATAACTAAAGTCATAAGTTAATCTGATTCGTCACTTTAATGTCAAAAAAATAGAAGGGACAGAAAAACATGTATTTTAATAATAATAATTTACTTGTACTTTTAAATTCCTGCATATCCATCAAATATATATCAATTGTGTTGTTGTGTCTTCCAACAACTGTATACATGTAACTGTACAACTCTGTACATGGATTTGTGGTGACATAATAGAAAGAATCTTAATATAATTCAAGCAGCTTTCCATAAGGGTAAGATTTCTCTTGACTACGATTCTGCATTTGTTTAAAGCATTTAGGGATTTAATAATTGAGAAGACAAATTAGTTACTTGCTGTTTATATCAACATGTACAAAGACTTAGCAACTTAATTTCTTGCAGATTGCAAACAATATTGAGATTTTTTCTTTAAAGATAATGAATGATGATACTGATCATTGGTTTATATATTCTATGTATTTTGTAATAAAATTTGTAAAAATGGGATCACAATTTCTAGGTTTTTAACGCTTTCTAAGGACTTCACTTGTAGAGACACAGTGATCACTCGTGATCACTTACGGACATCGATCCATGTTCACCTAATATTGATGTGACGTCTACATGTATGTTTAGTGTAGTCAGCATAAGAGCAATAAATACAGTAAATACTGATTTCAAGAAATCCAGTGCCCAGACAATATAAATATCGAAGAACAATGGGACAAAGCATTTGTATCCAACTTTACCAATTATGCATAAACACTTAAACCTTGACTACAGAAAATACTTCTCTAATCTTGACAAGTTTTCTGAATTTGTATAACTATACTTCACATTTTTTTTCTGTGAAGCAAATATTGCTGAAAATTAACCAAATTCCTACACATCGCTAAAATTACTTCATTTTTCTATACATGTCACACAGTCCGGCAATGAGGTACGTCAAAATTAATTTTTAAAAAAGTGTGTAAATGATAAAATCTATTAATATAAAAATAAATAATAAAAACAGCCTTTTCCAAGTACACGCGCACTTTTCCTTCTACTACTGATTCATTTTTTTAATGCCGTTTTAACAAAAATGAGAAGGTTAGAAATTACAAAGAGTACTTTTTGGTAATACAAAAATTAACTTACTCCCTAGCATCAGATAATGTGGTCAGGAACTGCACAGAAATGTAGGTCAGAATGCTGTCAGTGGTAGGAGTCTTTAGCTCGGTAATTCATAGGTGTAAAAAATCAATTATTAGCTTAAATTCTTGTTTTAAAATTAAAAAAAAATTAGGGAAACAACAATAATAAATGAAATATGGAGATAAAAAACAGTAATCAAGCTCAAAAGTTCCCTCACTGAAGTGATACAAATCGGGAACAGAGCAAACACGGACCTATATAAAAAAAAAACCATCAGAGATTGGATCAGGTGCCATGGAGGAGTAAACATCCCTTGTCAACCGGTCACATTCATGATAGTTATATATGTATTGACAGAATTTGCGTTCTGGATATCATAAATATTTGGAAGTTTGGAGGTCTGGACTTTCATAGAAATACATATGAATGTTGGGACAATAAAAAAATGATAATATGAAATCAGTTTATATTGTAGTTTTAAAGGTTCTGGATATCACAAGGATGGGTATTGATTTTCGGATATTATTAAGTATACTGAAGAAGTGAATAACAAAATATTCTCTCATATAAATTGAGCTCTATAGATAGTGTACAGAGGACTTCACGGTCCGAATGTTTATCAAGAGAAATAAAGGGGTTCAGTTTTGAAGCCAAATTTATTGACTACAAACACAGACATTATGAAAATAGTTTGTTCAAGTGTTTCAATTAGAATATCATGTATCGCTGTAGCCCCGTGTGTGGATTAGAGAAAAAAAAAAGAAATGGAAAATAATTTGTTTTAACTGTGCAACGGTAAACCGACATGTTAAAAAAAAACTGTATGACTTACCTAACTTGGCTATTATGAAAGCCTTTTTTTTCAATCGTACAAACATTAATCAAAACGTCAGGTCGTTTTGATTTATGCAATAATATAGGGTTATTGAACTTATATTGGTGAATGTTGGCACGAGTTGGCTGTACAAATGCACGGGCTTGCCACTGCATTTGTACAGCCAACTCGTGCCAATATTCACCAATATAAGTTCAATAACTCCTTTATTATATACATATAGTTAAAACATCTCTCTTTTATTTATATTAATTATTTCAACTAAATAACTCAAATTAATAAGAATTTTCTGTATCGGCATTTAAATTAACGTCTGTCGTGTAAATGCAATTCCAATGACCCTACCAAGCGTTAGGGTATGCTTATTGCGCCATTTGAGGTTTTTTTGAGGCTAATGCAAACTAAATTACTGTAACTCACTTTTTATTCGCGAAAACTATATTTTCAAGTAATTACGCGAGTCTGTCTGCTCGCGATTTTTTTTTTCTCGCATATGATTATATAGAAAAGAAACCTCAGCTCGCGAAAAAGTTATCTCGCTTATAGGGCCTAAATACCAAAAAGCTATCTCGCGAAAATAAGGTGTCGCGAAAATATAGTGATCTACAGCATTAACTAATAATTTCAATTTTGCGTGAAAATAAACACATCTTACCTAGCTGCCACTACCTATCAAAAATTTGCCTTCGAGAGGTAGACAAGACGACATTTTATGTATACAACGGGGCGTTCGATATTGAACGCTCGTATTCGGAATGTTTCGGACATACTCATATACGTAATACAAACTCAGCATTCAATAAAACGCTAAGACATTGAAAGCTAAAATTTTTCTAGACTTTTAGTTTTTTTTTTTATTATAGACTAAATTTATTAACTATATAATAATATACAATTATGGACTACAGTATACATTTAGGTCGATATGTGGTTATAAGGACCCATGTCAAGTGATATTGACCGAAGACAATATAATTCGACATGGGTCCTTATAACCACATGCAAGTAATGACCGTTCACTGAGGTAAAAAAAAAAAAAACAGTTTTATGAAAGAAAGCTTTTGCTGACTTGATTGGCTGCCATTACGTTACAATGGTAAAATTATCTATTAATTTTGTCGTCACTATATGCTAAGTAATATTGGTTTGTGCAGGAGTAATTACTATACAAAAAGAATGAAGAATTTTAGTACTCAGTGTAAAGAGAGAATATGGTTTAATAACTTATGCGAGTTAGTTACTAATTTTTCCCCAACTTGAGATCTCTAACTTTTCAATTTCGTTAAACACGTGGCTTGTTGCTTCTAAAATACACTGTACTACCGTCCGCCGAGAAACTTTGACTTTGGTGCGGCCGGCATTTTCAGCAATGAATATCATATTCCACGGACCCGTTTTAGCGTCGATATCAGAAACGGACGAACATTAATTGACGTTCTTTCAGCCAATGAAAATTGTGAAAATTATCTTCAAATATATTAATTCTATCCATTTTTTGTCATGTGATAGAAAAAAATATTACATACTAAAATCATATCATAATTTTCTCATATCAGCCCGAGTGGTCCCATATCAGACCGAGGGCTGATAAGCCATAATTGGTCCCGAGGGTTGATATGACACGTTATATGGATTTAGCATGCAATATTCTATGTATCATATATTTAAAATACGAGTATTTAATATGTGACTTCAATTCATTTCAGAATGTTTCGTGCATGTATATGAACTTTTTCTTTAAAATCTAAAAAGAGCCAAATTTAGGTCATTTTAAAACAAATTAATTCGACAACTTTTAGAGCAAGTAATATATTACATGTATATTTCAATAAAATCAAGTTAATTTACTTTAAAACGTAATACTTACGTCATTTCCGGTTTGATATACGTGACATATATATGGGTTTTCGGACCGGTCTTTGATATGGAGTATTATATAACGTCACCTGTATCACACAGTGCGAAATCAGTGTATTTTCTACCAAGTGTATGACCAATGTATCTTACAGCATTTTTATCCTCCGATTATTGGAATTTTTGTGCTGTTTCATTTTAAACTGTGACCCACATGTGTAAATATGTTTGATATAATTCACTCATGGCCGTAGGAACCGGGGGGGGGGCACGGGGGGCCGTGCCCCCCCCCCAAATAATTTTGCCGATATATAGAATACTATAGAAAACATAACTACTGTATGATTGTGCCCCCTCAATAATAACGTCTGATCCTCTTCTTCTTTTTTTTTTTTTTTTTTTTTTTTTTTTTTTTGCTTGTCAAGGAATTTTGGTACTTGATAGTGCCCCCTCAACTGAAAATGTTTGGTTGTGCCCCCTCAAAGTGAAATTGCTTCCTACGGGCCTGTCACTTGTACGGAAAGAGCGTATTTTAAGTTTTTAGAACTTTTGCCCGACTTTAAGGCAATGAAATATTTTCAAATCAAACCTACTTATTTAAGGTTGTGTGGGCTCTATAATTGATGATTGTATTGTTCCTTGAAGGTCTCTCCGCAACTTATTATTTCCGGTTGACGATATATTTTCTTTTTAGCGTGCTCATGATTAATTTTATTATAAACCGTCAGATATATGTTCACGGACAATTGCACACTTCTGAAACTAGTATTACCTCAATGCACCTTTCTCTGCTAAAAATAGACTGCAATCAACAGGCTAAAGGCTTCGGTCATTCCGCCGCAGCTTGTCCCTGCAGTGTGTCTCTGGTGACCTTGTTAATTTCTTATTGTCTAGCTTGTTTGTGTATTGTCTCGCTAATGTAGAAACACGTTATAGCTTTTTCCCCAAACCGTTAGTTTATTGCATGATCACTGCTGGGATAGCCATGCTTAGGACCTGGAGTTTCCCACTGTTTGCTCTCGTAATATTGAGTGTATTCCATCAGCTGATTTTGAAGTCTTTGGACTGTCAACGTAACGAGTATCTGTCTTTGTATTATGGTCGTTCTATGGTGGTTTGCAATTCTTCTGACGATGATGTCATTAAAATGGATAATCAGGTAGGGGATCCCTCAATTGTTTGGTTTTAAACTGTGTAGGAAAATGTCAACAAAATTTTTTATGTAAGCTGCAATAAAAATGGTGATGTAGAAGAATACATTGATCTAATTAATATAAAAAAATACCTTTCATCATCAACATTTTTCCAGAAATGCACCCCACGTAATTAATGTCGTATGTAACAAAATAATAAACTAATCATCTATTATATTAAGTTTTCTTTGAACATGAAGAACTTGAAGGAAAAATTCACATTATGTAATCTAAAAATGAAAAATCAAAAGGTGTATTGTAATTGTCATTTACATAAATATAAGTGTTGCGCTAAATAAAGCCTAAAGGCTTAAGGCAGTCAGAATTTGGAATACAGTTCACACTTTAAAAAAGAAATACTCCAGGTTATTCAGCGTGTAACAAAGGACTGGTGAATTCGACTGCAAACTGACAAGATCTTCATATAGGATAAAAAAAAATATAGAGAAGATTTGCTGTACCTTAAATACATATTAGTCAGGTAGGGTGTTTGTATCCCTTCTACAGACGTGTGACTCTCAAACAGGCGTGTCAAAGTGATAAGAAAAAGCATAACTATGTAACCTTTTTACTGAGAGTAATTTATCATCATTTTAGATATTAAATTGTTAATTATGACAGTTTTTGACATTTTCGTTCAAAAAAAGTGCAAATAATGAAGTACACGCACGAACAGTGGTAATATTTGTGGCAATTCAAACCCAGTGATTTGACAACTTCGACATTTAACATCTGTTAAATGCGATACTAAAGAATCGACAATTTTTATCTTTAAAAACGCGAGTTTTTTCCTAAGAAATTTTCTTTGCCTCATGTTTTTAATTTTTTTTTTTTTTTACATGTTGTATTATTAATTAATCTCTCTTTGCTTGTGTTGTACCGTTTATGATTATATTTAACGTTATATAAGTTATTAACCTGAATAGAATACTTGTGCAGGTGATAATTATGACCAGGTAGGTATAACTGTATATTGTCCTCTATGTAGGTCTGCTCTTACCGTTGGTGGACAATACAGCTATATAATTATATTCGTACAGTGTTCAGATCAGAACCATAATAATCACTAAATGATCTACACCGTAGTGTAAATATTGCGATCGAGAACAGTGACATTTTCCTATTGCTCTTTTTAAATGTGGATGAAAGTTTCTTTTATCTAAGGAGTCTTCTGAAGAATAATAAGAATATTAGAATGTTTACAAAATTTTAAGTTTATTTGGACATTTGTTGATTTCGTTTTGATGTTTTGTAGGGTTTTTTAATCAAATGTACATGCAGAAGTAATTCTCTAATATCGTGAATCTAAATATCTTGTAAAGTGAATACATGTATGTCTGCACAGAACGGGCTAAGCGTATGGTTAACTATAATCATTTATAAAGGATCTTATGTACATGTACGTGTAAATATGTCTACGTCCTATAAATAGATAAGGTATATTTTGGGCTCCTGCTGGATTACTGGACCATTTGTTTAGTGATGTCGCACAACGCATTTGATGTACAGCATAAGCACCTTTTTCTGTCAGACATATGTACACACAAAACTAGAAATCCAGCTTTTACACCATTTGTACACCTTGATTTATAAAACAACCAACCAACCAAAAAAATATAAATAAATAAAAAGTAGGAGAAAAACATAACAAACAAAACAAAACAAAAACCAAACAAACAAAGCAAAATAAATCCAAGGACAATTGATTGATATCATTGCCCAAGTCCTTACATATACATGTATGTAATTATTAAACAAGGAAGTGTTGTTAATTTAAAAAAACCTCCGAAACATTTTAAAATGTTTGCAAAACAATAAGCAACACTGTCCTAAATTTATCTGCATTAGAGACGTCATGATACAGAAAATGCATCAGTAAAATGAAATAAAGCTTTTCTTACAACCCATTTAAAAAAAAAAACTCTTTAAAAATGTCAAAAAAAATTGAAATCCCGCATTTATAAGACTCACGTTGATAAAAAGAAAATGGCGTACTTCCTAACTCACAGATTTCTAAAATTAGCTACTTTTGGTAGAAAATGTACTTTCTGTATTTCAAACTGATACTAAAACATTAAAAACAAGGACCATGTGACTGGTTTTTTATAAGTTCAACTGAAATGCACCGAAATGAGATAAGGCATCAAGAAATCGATGTCGAACATTTCCTGAATTATGTCAGACGACTTTTTTGTACATTCATTGTTTAAAAACTGCGCATTCTCCGTCTGTGTCGTCCGGGGGATCAGTATTCCGATGTTGTCAGCGCAGATAGTAGACAGCCTAGAACCGCATAACCCGGTAAGGACAAGCTAGCATCAGTTACTGATAAAAAATGAAAATTAGTGGATAAGTTGACAGCATGCAGCCTTTATTATGTCGATAAGTGTGTACTCATATGGAAACTAATACTTTTTTTTCACAATATTAATTAAATTTTGTTAAGTATCTATTCATGGAAACTGGTATGATGATTTCAATGTTGATTATTGTTTATTTAATTAAAAGATTTTTGAAATATATTTCTTTACCTGAAGCAATATAAGTATCTTTGTTACGCATCGATCATTTATGCAATTGATTATGATATATTTTGATAAAACTTTGAAAATGAATCAATGTGTATATACATATGTACTGTTTAATGTTAACAAATGAACTAATACGAAATGCCCCGTTAGCATACATGCTATGCATTCTTCATTGGAACTGACGTCTATGGCAGAGTAAGCCTCTTTAACTGTATATTAATAACGTGCACGCTTATCTGTCAGCAGAGGTACATGACATGATATTTGTAGCAGAATAAGTCACTCTTGTCATCTCTATCTACTACATAATTCCACTCATATGGCACACTAGTTGTACGGAAATTATGAAATTCTTGTTACAATTAGCAGGTGGGTTTAACTTTATTACCTATTTTTTTTCTCAGATATATAAACAGGTCATTTAAAATTATCATTGGTGTTCAAGAAAGAAACAGAGCATATTAATGACGATTTTTGTTTTATCTGTTTTATGCAAGATGCTATAATTCTGGTAAATAGTGAATACAAATGCATTGTTAGGATCTAATGCATGAAAACAGTTTAGAAACATTTCAAACTAAAAAGGGAGCCATTTGAAATGCGTCTATGGTACTGTGTTGTTCATAACTGGAATAGTTTCAACTGTATTCCTTACCACCTTGGAAGCAAAAAACGTAGTATTTGCCCCCAAATTGTGGTCAGACGTCTCAAACGACAAATTTCTTACTGAAGTAATACTTCAGGCATTGACCATTTGTAATTTCCGCTTGCGTCATACACACTTGAGCAATGAGTGTTGTCACTCCAATGGGACATCCTCTCGTAATCAGAGAATGTCTGATGATAACTGTAACCTACAACCTTTAACTTTTCAACAAATTACTTATATCCTAGTTTCAGCTAATGTTTCAAGACGAGGAATAGTTAATCTTAACATACACAGGCAAAAGTGGCTTACATGAATTCATGTGTAATAATTTCATGTGAAGTCTTTGCATGAGAAAGAGACGAAAAAAAAAATTGACCTAACTTTCATATGAATTTTACATGAAGAGCATAAAGATCGTGCAAAGAAAACTTCACATAATTTTCAAATAAAAAGATAATCACAGGAATATCATGTAAGCCACTTATCCCTGTGTCCAGAGAGTGATTGCAGATTTGGTATTAATAACAGAAACACACCTTTTTTATTCAATTCAAAAATTATTTCTGTTTTCCTAATAATATTGAATCAATGCACTATACAAATCAATTGTTTCTTTATGTTAGTATTGAAAAAAGCCTAGAAACATTTAAGATATCCATTGTGTTTAAGTTTAATTATGAGAATGCTTGTAGGCCCACCTCGATCACTGAACCGACATCTTCCACACGGTAAAAATGAACCAATAAATTTCACTGTGATTAAAGCACAAGTTGAACAACCGGTCAGATTTCTTTCTTTAGCTCAAAACCAGTGGTTCCAATAAATCAATCAATTTCAGTCACCTATTGTCATCGATTTTTGGATATTGATGCGCGGATCACTTGATCTAATGACGTTACTAGATGTGTCGGTTAGTCACAAAACTGCCCTATATCTTAACGTTTCTTAAATCCAGCTCCGAGATTTTCGAGTCTCTAACTTATGCTTGTAATTTTTTTGAGGGGGATGATTGTAATGGACAAAGCTTGTATATCTTTTATTTTTGTTTGTTTGTTTGTTTGTTTGTTTTTTGTTTTTTTTGTTTTTTGAACAACGAAACTTTAAAATTTGATGAACAAAAGATAAATGTTCAATTCTTGAACTAATTTTGTCTCTAATTCAGCAAAGTAAGAAATATTTACTCAAAGAGATAATTTATTATTAATTTGGATTGATTCAGATTCATTATACATATGCATCCAAATTCTTCCTCTCTCATAATATATAATATTTGTACGGCACTCGTCGATGTAATAAGTGCATCACGATGTTGTACATTGTACTTTAATACAACTTTTCAAATCGTGCCAAAACCCTGGATGTTGTTTATTATAAAGATATGTATATTTAATTAAATTCAAGATAGTTTTTGTATGTAATTCGACAGATGAAACTTTCAACTTTTTTATGAAATTGGAAATAAGTTGACCTTATCCCCTGATATCTGAGATGCAAGTAAACTATTTTCAGATTTGCTGATTTACACTAAGATAAGAAGAGGAAGTGGATAAGATACAAACCCTGAATTGCACTTGAATAAGAACTCTACCTCCTCGGTTCTTGAACCCATGCTGTAAATGAATGTTTAATTTATTTCAGTTGTTGAGTAAAATGATTGTTCCAACACACATCTGGAGTCTGGCCCTGTCGGTTCTCAACCTCGTGTCTCGTGTGGCTCTATCGGACTCGTACTTCAAAACCCGGTTACCAGGTAAGCCTAAAGTTCCATTTATATTTTACATCGTAAGCTTATAAAGAATTTCCGAAATAAAAGAATGCCTCACAGATTTGTTTGAAACTTGGCAATTGTGTAGAACCATATCCAAATCAAATTTTTTAACCTGCAGCCTTAAAATTCCACTCTCCATGGATTTTGCTGTACGATATGAATATAAGCTAGCCTTTATGCAAAATTAAAAAGGAAAACTCTCAGAGTGAGATCTCATCAACAGATACTGGTATACGATTTAAAATGTATTGGAACTGCATATGATTTTCATTCATCAGGTTGTGTGTTTACTTTATATCCCCAAAACCTTTGCGAGGGGATAGCAAAAGGAATAAAATTGAAACCCAAGAGAGATTCTCCTTATCGCATGTTGTTTGTTGTACAATGGTTAAAGACAAGGTGTATTACATTTCCGCAAATTTTGAAAAATTTCAATTTTACATTTGGTAATGTTTCCGCAAAATAATATATAGCTATTATTGTATCTATAAGCACCACATTTCCGCAATTTACCTCTAGTATATAGTAGTAGCAAAGACAAATTTGACATTCTGTGTAAAGAATATGCAAAATACACGAAACACAAAACTACCAGAACTTTCGGGTGCAAATTTGGTGCCTGAACAGAGATATTCCACACCAAAATACCCGACGGCGGCTGTGACAGTACATGTAACTTTAACATAAAGAAAATATCATGTAGTGCTATTTCTACAGCTAGTGTGCATTTTCTACCTATCAAAAAAAAAAAAGAATTGATTTTATGCAATATCATATTAACTTTCATGCGTACATTTTTAATGTGAAATATGTTATCTGTGATCCAGGTAAAATATTTTGAGAAATCTTAATATTCTTTTTTTCCGGAATTGAAAAAAAAAATTGTTGAATCGTAACTTTTTTGCGGAAAGGTAATATCTATCTAAAAAAAAGTACTCTTTCGCCTCTACTTTGCCTGTAGTCCGAAATATCTAACGTTTTTCTGGCTTTTTTGCGATTTGATATTTTACATGCCAGGAAAACGTCAGAACCGGCGCCATTACGAAAACTGGGAATTCGCCGCTTCCAACCGGAGGCGGCATTCTCGGGTTGATTTTCGAAACTTGCGAACCGAATTAAATGTCAAACTCGCAACTTATCAATAGTGCAATACTTTTAGTACTCACCAACATCGTTTTTATGGTTCGTTTATAAAGTATACAATTCGATGAAAACATTTTATCTGACAGTCGAGATTTGTTTTCATTTCGTGCATTTTAATTGCAATTCCTGTATCGAAATGTGGAGTGGTGTTTTCTTTTCATCGATATTGGTGAGTACTAGAACCATTGTGCTATTGATAAATTGTGAGTTCGGCATTTAATTCGGTTCGCAAGTATCGAAAATCAACTTCGGTTGCAGACGGCGAAATTTCCAGTTTTCGTAATGGCGCCGGTTCTGACGTTTTCCTGGCACGTAAAATATCGAAAAAAAAAAGCCAGGAAAACGTCAGATATTTCGGACTACTTTGCCTGCAGCTGACACCACATAACAATTTCAGCAATCAAACGCTTCTTAAAATAGCACCTAAAGGAGTAAAGTGCATTCTTAGTTTATCAATTTATTAAATTTTGAAGGATTTTTTTCCCTCTTGATATTCCATATTTCTTTCAAATAACATGAGCTGACCATACGGTGTTTGAATACAATTTCAAAAAAAATTACTTGTATCTACTGGATACTTTTCAAAGGCATGAAATTGATATATATATAAAGCATGAATCCTTTTAATTTTTATGAATAAAATAAATTTCTAAATTGCATGAAATAAAGCTGCAGCGAGAATTATTACCTCAGAGAAATAAAAAAGGAAGAAGGCCAGAATCACTTTTAAAAAACTCGCAAGGCAGAAATAATTTTCACCAACACAATCCAAAATACACATTTTCATCTCTCAAATTAAACTAAACTCGGTGATTGGTGTTATACAGTAACAAGTATGTAATAAGTAATTTATCATTCGCCGTTGACAGATTACCGTGATCACGCATGCGCCCGTGAGTGCGAGGAGGACGGTACCCCCTTGACTTGTCAGTACGACTTCACCATTGAGTATTACTACACCTTAACCCAGGCCTGTTATGGATGTCCCTACAACACCACAGACTGTTTCCGACCCCACTGTGTGGCTGGGGACGGAGTATCCCGGGGGATAATGACGGTCAATCGGATGCTGCCTGGTCCGGCTATACGGGTGAGTAGTCATATGAGTCCTGGGTGATGTGAGTTAAAAGTCAAATAAAGTTAACATCAATAAAATACAAAATTAAAAAAATATATGATAATAACACAGTGAGTTATCGCAAAGAATATTTAAATGTACGCAGATGTAAAACTATGGGGTCACTGAAGTTCAGCTTGAGCTTTAATCCATCAGTTATGTCCCGTGGTTTGATGTTCCGTTACGATAAGGTAGAATTACGTACTTGATCAGGATCTGTCTATGTCACTGAGTGCGCAGACTTTATTCATTTCACAAAAAAGTAGTAATTTCCAGGTGAAGGTATTTGACAAATCTGTTTCTTATATTTCACATTGAAAACAATAATGTGACTCTGATTATAGTTTGTTCACAGGAGAGATTAGATTTTGAATGAATACTTATTTCATTTATCTTTAATAATTTTGACACATCATCAAAAACAAGTTACTAATATGATAAAAGTTTCAACTAAAGATAATATATTAAACACTGTGCCGGATAAATCTGCCACTTCCAAAGTGGCAAATCGGCGCCCGCCAAAGTCTTAGTTTACATAAAATCCATATATACCATGAGATAGACCATCACTTACAGAGTTCAAAACTATCTTTGTTACAGGTGAATCTCACCTGTCAGGTGAGATAATCACCTTTGAAAAGAAAATTCCCATGGGAAAAATAAAGTTCCTATAGGAAAATTAAAATTCCTGAGGGATATTATCAAAATCCTATATATTAAATTTTTAATTACTATATTATTTGGATCAAATAGCGAAGAAGAAAATTTTTCAAGCCACAAGACTTTCGAAAGATCTCTTGTGGAGAAGTATAAAAAAATCTTAAATGACAACAAAAAATCTTTATAAGTACTACTTTAGGTTGAATAACAGTTATTTAGAATAGTTGTAACCCTCTGCTGATGTACTTTATACCTTTGACAGGTGTGCGAGGGAGACACGATCATAGTAAATGTCAAGAATAACTTGGAGGGAGGGGAGGGTACTGCAATTCACTGGCACGGCATCCTACAGAGTAAGACCCCCTACATGGACGGCGTGGCCATGTTGACACAATGTCCCATCAACCGCCACTCAAAGTTCCAGTACAAGTAAGCAAGAGAACTGATTTTGTTGTTCAGTGAGTTTCTCAGTAAATGTAGTATAGGTTATTGATTATGGCACACACACTTCTAGATCATCTCTACTCTATAGTATTCCAAATGTGCTCATTTAAAAAGAATTATAAGTCATAAACACCAAAACTCAAAAATGAATATTTTTTTAAGTATTCAAGATGTCCGTAATTTCTTAATTAGTTCAAGCTGAAGAACTTATCGGTTTATAAAGGGTTTCGGGCTGAAGAACTTATTGGTTTATAAAAGGTTTCGTTTACAAACTTTACAAGGAAGGGAAAGCGACTTAGGTATGATTAAAGCCTCTTGTTCATTGAGTTTTTATTTGAATAATAAACAGATTCCTTGCTGAAACACCCGGTACCCATTTCTGGCATGCTCATGCAGGTTTACAAAGAGCTGATGGAGTGTTTGGCTCTCTTGTGATCCGTCAACCAAAGTCACGTGACTATCACTCGGCTTTATACGACCATGATTTGCCAGAACACTCCATCTTACTCAATGACTGGATCGGCGAAATGGGCGCATCTCGATTTGCCGGTCATCATCATGCTATGACAGAACACTTACCAAATTCTATACTAATAAATGGTGAGTATTTTTTAAAGTCCTGTAATGTTTACGAATCACCTTTTCATTCTTACATATACATGTACTAAAGCCAAAAATTGCTCTGACACAGTCCCTATACTACATGTACGTACTTTGTTTCCAGGGCGAGCAACTCTGAAAACATTTCTTCCAAAATCAAACACAGAGGTCCATAATGGCCATGGAGGTCACATGATGCCAATGGAAACCAATGGACATCAACTAGCTGGACATATGATGCATGATTCGAATGGAAATCAACATGCTAACCACATGATGGGAGACACGAACAATCATCAGATGGCCCAAGACAGCAATGGTAATGGTAACAGTCAAACAACAAGCAGTGACAATGAAAATTCAATGGACTCCCTTCCAACCACGAACCCAGCAATGCAAAATATGCACAGCATGCATGATATGCATAACATGCATACAATGGGAATGCCAAGTGCACATAATGACCACACCATGGGTATGGGTCCTATGTCAATGAACAACGGAGATCATAGTATGCACAATATGAACTCCATGGGCATGAACAATGGAGAAGGTAATATGAACATGAACAATGGGGACAGTGAAATGCCAAGTGGTATGGAGTCTCTCACAACACTTTCGAACTCAGATTTAGAAATGCTTGTAAATTCAGAACATCAGATGCACCAAATGCATCAAATGACAATGCGAAGACGTCGAAGTGCCAACGAAAACACTGTCACTGTACCAACAACCAGTGACGATATGGATAAACCTCAAGAACACGTCCCTGTCCAAACACCTCATGCCGTCTTTGCTGTTACACATGGTCAGCGCTACAGATTTAGAGTTGCCAGCAATGGAGTAAACAACTGTCCAATAGAAGTCTCCATCGATAACCACACTATTACTGTCATCAGCTCCGATGGCACACCTTTCAAGCCCGTCCATCTCCAGTCTTTCAATATATTTGCTGGGGAAAGGTACGACTTCATATTAAACGCTGATAAACCAATTGGAAATTACTGGATTCGAACCCGTGGTTTGGCCGATTGTGGACCACAGTATAATGGCGTAAGTCAGACGGCTATCCTTCGATATGAAGGCGCCATGCCGATGTTTCCAAAAGAGTCTACAGAATACGAGGCAGGGGAAAGACCAGGAATGGTATATTGCACTACTACATATACTTTGCTCAATTTTGATACCTCGTGGAAAAAAAGATGTATAAAATCATTTCTATCCATTTCTTACTTTTTAGAAATTAAATCCATTCAACCAGAATTCAGATTTGAACACAATGAACGTGGATCGACTGGAGTCCTTAATTCCAGATGACATTTCGCTCAAGGTGAAACCAGACAGGGTACTTTACCTCGCCATGGACTTCAATTTTATCGAGAACTACCGGTTTAACGATCCCGACTTCTACTCACTGCAGCATATGATGCATAAAGGGGGGCATGGAGCACATGCCCATCACATGTTTTCTCCCCAGATCAACAGAATATCTTACTCTGCCCCTCCCTCTCCTCCACTCACCCAGTACACAAAAGACTTGGAGGTCCGTCCTTTTTTTTTTTTTACAGTTTACTAAATATTAAGAGTAAATTTAAGTCAAAACAGATTTTTTCACCCTCAGAATAACAAATTTTTAATACGTGGAAGTGTAAAACAAAATTCAGACCTACATACACGCCGTGTTACTAGTATACGGTAGTCAAGAGTATTGTGTTTCATTTGCAGGACATTTTTTGTGATGGAACATCATTCAAAGACAAGAACTGTAAGAAGGAGTTTTGTGAATGCACACATAGAGTCAAAATTAAGCTTGGAGAGGTGGTAGAAATGGTGCTTGTAGATGAGGGTAAACACATGGACAATAACCACCCCATGCACATGCACGGATACAACTTCAGGGTTGTTGCCATGGAAAAGGTAGAAGTTTGTGACACCACCTATTGAAACAAGATGATTCAATTCTGATTTACATACGATTATTCAACAACACATTATAAAATAATAATCCAATAAAAATCCTGTTATGTTTTATAGCTGGGGAACATGACCTCTGTTGAACACGTTCGATTCATGGATGATATGGGGCTGATCAATAGAAAGCTTCATAGGGCTATCTCAAAGGACACAGTTACCGTTCCTGACGGAGGTTATACCATTATTAGATTCCACGCCACCAATCCAGGTAATGGAAGATAGTAGAAAAAGTTGTTATTTTTTCAATATATTTTAATATTTGCCACCTTCTCTTCCTATACCCTGCTTTTTGTCATGCTATAAACGTAATATCACTATTAAAATGTAGTACATTTAGTTTTCGGATCGAATTAAGGTACAATTTTGGATTCTTTTTCCCCAGGATTCTGGTTATTTCATTGCCATATCGCCTTCCACATGGAAATGGGGATGAGTATGGTCATCCAGGTTGGTGAGCCTGAACAGATGCCAAGACCGCCGCCCAATTTTCCGCGTTGTGGCGACTGGACTCCAAAGGAGCAAGCGGAAAGCGACGATAATATCTGCCCCCCACCACCACCATCCGCTAACTTAGCTTTTGATCCACCCACCTCAGCTGCACCACCCACAACTACAACCAGCTCGCTACCCCCCACTGAGGCCATTACTTCAACAGTCCCACCTGTACTTATTCTATTACCCTTTATTTTCAAACTTAGCTTCAATTGATATCATTTTTATCAGAATTCAACATGTACACTACATACACTATATTATATTTTCGGATGAAATCCCATTTGATCAGAAATCCATTGATTCAAGAAATCCTATATATACTATTTAATCTTAATCATAATTTAAAATGTATTTTTATGGATATTTTATATTGCATGATATACAATATGATTGAACAAATAGAGAATGTCATAGTGGTTTTCAGAGAAAACCTATTAAAATGATAATGTTTTGTTAGTGCATGACTAACATGTTAACGTACAATATTGTAGGAATCCTCTACCCCAGTAGTGTTCTCTACAACCGGTATTTAACTTTTATCTATAACACCTATGTGTTGCTCATTATTCGTGCGTCTGTGTAATTGTGCATTGAACATTTTTTGCCATATTTGTCTCTATGAGCATAATGTGTCATGCTTTCACTTTTGGAATGACAGAAAACGCTTGAATTGAAGCTTTTGGCACAATTTCTTTTGGATTATTTTTAACAGGAATAATCTTGCATGCAAAGCAAAAGCTTGATTGCTGTTAGTTCGATCTGCCTACCATGTTGTGTTATAATGTTATATGATTTTGCATTGCTACGTATATATATATGCAATTTTGAATATTTTCTATTCTTACGAAATGAATCATCTTAGGTTTTGTTGAAAGAAAAATGTTATGTGTTTAACGCACTTTGCATGTATTAGAACCCTAGCTGTTTGTTTTGTGTGCTTCGTCCTTTAGTGGTATCGTTGGGTTTTGTCTCTTAGCTGGAAATGGGATCCATTTGCACAGTCAAAGCTCAAAAGACGCGCAAAGGTAAGGTCCTGCAGCTGTATAATCATTTAATCGTTGCCATTATCTAGCTGACCAGTTTTTGAAATATATATATATATCAGTGGAGAAATCGTGATTTGTCAATTCGTACTTAAATCCAAACATTGAAGTTATAAAAACAAAACGATGGACAATATATTGGTATCCATACCTTTTGAAGGAGTTATTCTTACGATTTGTTTATTTTTCCTATTATTTGATCATGCAAATATACAATTAAATTTTGCATTTTTAGAAAAATAAACGATAACAGTGTTCTAGAATAATGGTTGATTTTTTTTTTATTTGTGATGAAGCATAAATTTGGTTGCTGGGTATGTTAGATGGTGGTGGTTAAAATGACACTAATGTTTTAAGAGACGCCTGCACAGAGGATGTTGACAAGTATAACTTTACTTTTCAGTTACATCAGATCTATCTGGGTGGAATTCAACAGACAACTGATGTAAATCTTAAAGACGTCACACTTCACTATGCTCTGCTTGTTTGGATGACAGGGAAAAAGAATTCTATGAAGTCCCCCAAAACTTCCGCTCTCGTAAGAGATCACGGCCGCCATAAAAATATGACTGGAATGAAAAACAAGCATCACAGGAAACACAAAAACATCCTAAGTGGTCACCAGAAAACTAATGAATCCAATCACCTTTCACACAAGTCGACACCCAACAATCTTCCATTCATGAGCATCAAATCAGCCAACGTGCCAAGTTCCTCAAAGAGTAGTATGATCGAGTTAACGAACTTACCGAAAATGATAGTCCCAGCTCACTACATTAAGAAAATTATTTCGGACCATCCTTCAAAGTCTGTCAAAAAGGGACATCGGCAGCAGAGAGGCCCCGGAAGCAGAGAACGTATTGGACGGTTGTCAAGTTCTATGGGAAAAATTGGCAAGAGAAACATCACTGTGCATGCTGTAAACAATTATAAACAGACAAAATTCCGCGAGCGACCCAGAGGGTTCCCTAAACCTTTGCGAAATGGACCGACAGTTCTTAACACTATGTCTTCTCCAAACTTAGATAGACATACAAATGATCTACAGAAGACATTGCCAATGAGAAATAGAAATCATATTGATCATTACCGGAAGTTACGAAACCCATCGACTTCACGACACAGAACAAGTCACGGTTTATCCCGCATGAGGCGTGACTTGGTTAGAAGACTTCAATCAAGGTCATCGGATCCATTATGATAAAAATATTATTGAACACAGTGGTAAAGAAATCCAACCCTGCTACTCAAAACGAGATGCGAGACATACGACACAAAGTTACTGGGGAAAGGTCGACAATCTGTCGAATCGTTGTCGTTCAACTCAGAGGACGCAAGAAACTTGGTTCAGTTTGTCGATAACTGCCGAAAAGTGCTAGGAATATGAATTACCAAATAAACGAAGTGAGCAAACACGTCGGTGATTCCTGTAGATTGCTGCAGAAAGGACGTAATGTTGATTTTGTTTGTCAGCAAAGAGATTGCTGGATTTTTTTCAGTTGCATTAGTGTTTTCTTTTATCTCATTTTTACTTCAAATTAAAGCCAGTCATTTTTTTTATTTACCAGTTAGTTGCTAGTTTTTACTAACTATATGTAACTATATGCATTTTAGATTGAATGTCTAGTCAAATGTTAATTTGCTTGACGATCACATTCTCAACTTTTTCAAGATTTTGGTTTACATGCACTTATATTTTTGAGTGTTGTTGAATATTATTATACTTAAATGTTATTCTATTTAACATATTAACATATGCTTGCCCTCATTATGGTGTTATTTTCAGGCATACATTCCTTCAAGTGAGACCCCGGGTCCCTTATTTATTTACTTATATAGTGCTTATGTGATTGACATAATTCTTTTTGCTTTATATAGTGATATCATAAATATATCAAATCACGTGTGCTTGTAGATTGTTGTATCCATTTTTGAAAAGTCATGCTATATGTTATCCTTGTTTCATATTTAGTATTCGAAATTTCCGATTATCTTTTTTTATGTTGTTTGTGCAATAGAATAAATGGCACTCTATCTGGAATATGTAACACCATATAATCCATTACACTACATATAGCTTATTTTTAGAGTTTTCCGTCTTCAGATGAAACTCTTTTATTATTATTTGTTTTACTTCTATTACAATTTGTTTACTAAATTACAATCTCAAACTAATTTTGGAATTGTCAACATTTATTTCAATAAGAGCAGCAAGCTGAATTGTGCTTCCACTCCATAATATGCTGTTTGCCATGAGAGACTTTTAATTTATATTTTCATTTTTCAAAAAGCATCAGTATATTGGTGTGAATTAATTACCCGACAATAGTTCTTAATGTTAATTTATTTCCTTTTTTGCATTGCAGTTTGCATGTCCAGCATTTCAGATATTGAGAAATTCAAAAATTGTATATAATCACTTTGTTTATAATTAATACCAGTGAATCTCTTACAGGTCTCTAATTATTAATTAGGCTTTTCAACAAATTGCAAATTAAAATTTTCAATTATTATCAACCTATTTTTATTCTTCAAGAACGACTGGTGTTGAAAGTTATTCCAAAAATGTAAGTTACTGTTCAGATTGACATGTAATTATCATACTTCTCCACAAGGAGTGAGTCGTGAAGCAAGAATATGAAAAGAGATGGTCTTTGGGATTCCCAGAGTAATATTACATGTACAATCAAAAGGCAAAGGGAAAATATCGAATAATAGGAGATTATCAGATATAAGTGGGTAATTAGTGATTTGATATACAAATGAACCTAGAGAGTATATAGACGAATAAAGGGTTCACTTTAGTTTATCTACTAGTAATCCACTTCCTGTTGCTGTGCAGATCTGTCCTTCCCACGTTATCTCCTTCATTTTCTGTCTATAGCTGCTTTCAGAACCTCCATCGATTACCTCAAAATGTCAGTAAACAGGTGAAGATCACCAAACTTTACTCAGTTCCTTTGAAACTTTTAAACGGACTACTCGGAGAAGTTTAATCAAATCCATATTTTGATATTTTGAATACAAGCTAGTGCTTATGTAATTATTTTTACACCACCTCGGCTGACGCGTCGGTTGACAATGGTTTTCCTTGGGGTGTCATTTTCAACTGTTACCCTAAAAAACATGCACTATTTATATATTACATGTATAAAATGACAAGCTGAAAGCAATCATTTAAAGCGACAGTACGGCTGCAAAACGTGTGTTCTTTCATTCAAATTTACCCAATATATCATTAGGAAATAAGGTATAAAGTTGATGTAAGCAGTTTGAGAAACAGAAATATTCTCTCCTCATACAAAATTAACGTAACTAGATGAAATCCCGCGCAAGCGCGGGGAATTGAATTTATACCACTACCGACAGAAAATATATTGTAGTTAGAACTCTACTGACAGCCTACAGGCTTATACATGTAGCAGCAACAAATACTTTGTTCAAAATCCCGCATGAAGTAGATTTACCTATCCCCCCCCCCACCTCCCGTTTTATGTGTTTGTTTTATTTATTTTTTTTTTTTAAATAGCAATTTCATTATAATTGACGTTTATTGTGAAACCTGTTATACTATGTTATGGATATTGTGCTTCAGATGCTCTTATTTCATTTCCGTCAAGGATAAAAGCAACGAATATGCACATTTTACTAATAAATTGATTGGGGGTGGGGGGTGTGTGTGTGTGTAAAAATTCACAGGTACTTGGGTCTTGGTTTATAAATATGTTTGTACCTTATTGATATGTAAAAATGTACTTTACTTTTTTACCTTTTTTACCTATCAATAAGGTACATACATATTTATAAACCAAGAATCAAGTACCTGTGTAAAAATTAGCTTTTAACGCCCTATGAATAGGCTGAGTATTTGATACAAAAGACTACGCTGCAACAATGTAGCCCTCTCCTTTTTTTTTTCTTTTTTTTTTTGGATCTGATATTTTCTGGCCTCTCTCTCTCTGCCCCCCTCAAAAAAGGAGAGGGCTACATTATTGCAGCTATAAAAGACTGTATTCAGAAAATTGTGCATTGATTAAAGCGCAAAATTTTACATCTTTAATTGTATTTGAACAATACCTTATTCATTAATTTTCTCTTTTCATATAAGCAAGTTTATTACGAAGTACAAATTGTACTTCGGGTTCGTTGCCACGATGCTCTCAGTAAGGAATATATACAAATTTTACCGATAAATTTATTAGGAAAACCTACTATATACATGTATATGTCATAGTCTTTCATTATATTCACAACTTATAGTGTTATCAGTGATTTACCATTATTTCAATTATGACCATTTACACAAAAGCTTTTTTTTTATGGTTATGTAGCTATCATCGCCTCGTTTTTTTTCCCCTTAACATCGGGCTCGATGCTATATGATGTTCTAGAAGCTTCCGTCAATATAAAGATCGGTGAATGACGAACATATTTTGCACATTTCCCTTTTCAATCGGTTATCACAACTTATTTCTTTTATATCATTTAAATCGAGTTTTGATTGAATAATTCAATGATGACGTTTTATGTAATAAATAAATAATTGCTTGTTGTCAGTTTCATTAATAATTGCCAGTAACTTAGATCGCCAACCGGAAACGCCACCGTACTCACGTTTTAGCTATTTCATGGCTGTTTATAGAAAATGAAAGTAGACTTTTAATTTAATGTACGATACTTACTATGCGAGTGAAATCTAAATATAGTTTACGGACATCAGCTTGTGTCTAGTGTATTGTTAGAGGAGTAAGTTAGAACTCTGGTGCACCCGTTTCGGAGTTTATTTGCAAAATTTATTAATTTATAAGTATAGATTAGAATCTGCCGGAAAATCAAGGGTCGTACGAACTGGAGCAATCTTAGATCTGTTTATTTGTACCACGTAAATTCTAAAACAGCACGTGTCTACACTGTAGAGTTTACAATTATAATGAATATGAGGTAAAAGCAATTTTCAAACGCAAATTATCATAACTTTCTGATAAAATAAACTAAAATAATAATCGTAAAGATTTTAGTCTGCTTTCAGGCGAATTTAACAGAATTAAAAGTACAAATGTTGACGTTTTGTGTATTGGGGTCCGAGAAAGGAAAAAACCACCAAATCATACGTTATCGCGGCAAATGTCAAACAAAATATTTTTCTGTACAGTTAAGAAAATTAGCACTTCAAATGGCAACAGTGTTTATGAGTCATAGGTGCATATTTTTATGTTGAGTTTACACTAATTTTTTTTCTTTGAAAGCGATGGAAAAATGAGAAATGAAGTATCAACAAACCTGTCGAGTAGAACCTTAGCGAGCCCTGCGTGAGTGTCGCCGAGTTCCCGTTTCTTGCTTATCCAACGATTATATTAATCCCCAAACTAAATTTTAGTCAGGAAAGTTGCTTTTTCAAGCTCTTTTTTTCAGTTTCTTTTTGGTCGACTTTGTCAATGTAGCAGGCCCACCGGGCTTTCCTTTCTTACCATGCTGTTTTGTTTATGAAAACTACGAATGCGTGCATAGCATGGAATGTGAACCCGTTGCGATGTATATGATCGGTATATATTTATGTCCCATAAATAATTTTTTTTAATTTTAATGAAATAATCAAAATTATTTAATTGTCAAAGTTGTAATTTTCTGAAAGTTTATACATTTATGAGTAGTAAAAAAAATTCCAAATCTTGTCGGAAAATTTTATCAAGTCAGTTTTTTGATGAGATGCGCTGTACTATTACTTTAAAAGGTCCAGAATTGTATCGACCATAGCATTTGCGAAATGTTGACTTTAAACGAGATTGTTGATATCTTTGTATCATCAATTTATTTGTCAATGGCCTGTCGCGTTTTAGAAATTCTTCGTACGAAGAACATGCTCTTGCGTATTTAATCAACTGGGAGACATGAACTCCATATGCAGATGATAATGGTATATTGCTACATAAATAAGGGTAGTTGACGATAGAAAAGTTGAAGGCATCACCATTACCATAAAGTTTTGTTGTTAGGTTAACATTAACGCCTTTTCTGGTAAAATATCCAAATATAAAACAGAGTTGTCAGACTCTGTGGTATCATTTATTTCAAGATCAAGAGGGTATATCGAATCAACGTAGAAATGAAAATGAATATTGTTAATTGATAAAACTTCGTCTAAATATCTACATAGTAAATGTTAAATTCATTTGAAGACCACAGCAAGAGACTTCTTCTTTTCATGTAGAAGTTTTGAAATAAATTCTGCTTCATATAAACACAAAAATATTTTTTTTTTCAATATAGACATTCATTCCAACAAGGGAAATTTTGTACACTTTTTCTTTATTATGATCATCTTTTGTTAACATTTGGTTAACTTTTATGGTGTTTTGCCATGCATCTAATACACAACATTGTGATAACTTTTTCATTTAACTTTACCATGCACATCCATATATGTCCTTTCTTCTTATATCATGCTTAAAAAGCAGACCTGGGGTCAATTACTTTGAAATGTAATTAATTAAATTACAATTACTTTGGAATTTTTACCATTACAATTACCTTTACCATTACTCTCATTCAGAAAAGTAATTAATTAAATTACAATTACTTTGTTAAAGTAATGAATTACATTACACATTACATTTTATAAGAGAAAAACACAAATTTTATGACCACACAATTTACAGTGTATATCCATAAATTAACTTTCTCACGCTTTGTGCTCAGTTAATTTGTTTTCCCTCGGGTCTATAAGTCAGAGTGGTATTTGGATTTTGGATTCATTTATCATGTTCATTAGTTAACCAATTTCTACAGTTGACAAAGAAAGTGGATCGGCTAGAACACTTTCAATGTTTTAGTTTTGTTTAGTCTCTGATTTTAGTTCCTCTTTATTTTTTTTTTAAATAAATGATAAACATTTCATATTTTAAGTTTTACGTAAAGTGATATTTAATCAACAGATAATTCTATAACTGTAAAACGAGTATTAATAATTTAATCAATTGGCACTCATAATTAGCTAAGCCGGCATAATCAATGAAGATATAAAATTAACACAATCAAAGGTGATAATTACTGGTACCTAGATATAGGGTTTGAAGTTAGAGGTGACTCTCAAGCTACCCAAAATGAATGATGGACAATATCAATACATGTATTTACATTTGGCCTTAGTTTCCATTTGTGTCTTCAAGTAGATCATACTGATCTTGTGTCTTGCCTTCCAAGTCCATTTTACCAGAATGAACTTTGTGAGAAGAAAAAAAAATCAAGTTAAAAAATATAGTTTGTATCTTAATTGGTAGTCACAGTATAGTACATGTATTAATGTCACTTGTTTTGTGGCTATCTTTGAAACCTAATGATTTCTTTTTAAAAAAAAAATTTTGGCTCTCTTCAATTGATTTATAATTGTCTTGTCAAGAAGATTTCTACTAAAACAATTATTTAGTATATTGTCTATCAATCACCATTGAATAAACATTTTAAAAAATGGTAAGATATAGGATTTTAATTTTAAGACTTTAACATTGTAAATAAGGAAAAAACTCTCAATGACCTTGCTTTATTTAAGAATCGGTAATAAAAAGATATTAAAATACAAAATGTAATTGAAATGTAATTGAAAAGTAATGGTCATTACTGAACATATTTTTAAAAGTAATGCATTAAATTACAATTACTTGTAATTGAAAAATGAATCCATTACACATTACACCCAATTACTTTGAAAAAATGTAATGATTGCAATGCATTACCATTACCATTACCCCAGGTCTGTTAAAAAGTGTCAATTACAAACTGGAGGGGGGGGGGCAATATAGGGGGTCTATCGCTTCTTAGTTAGAAGCGGCAGCAGATTCGGAACATTTCAACCCCCTTATTTTCAAACTGAACCGATATCCTTTATGCTTGTAAAAGATGTACAGGCCTGCCATAGTGTAGCTTGAAAAGTAGAAAGTCGATAAATAAACGATTGACTCTTTTTTCTTTCTACTAGAGAATTATATCTTAGCTAGACTGACTAGGCCTAATACGCTGGTCGAGAACAATTACAGTCGATTTTACTTTTTGGTTATGTATACGACTTGACTTCTTATGTACGAGTCGGCATATGTACGACTTGACCGTCGAGAAATTTAACGATCGAGTTATCATAACACCCTCAACCGGAAACAAGGTTATTTGTAATACCTAATCTTGGATTTGAAATTGATATACACGATATACATACATCTTTCGTATGACAGCGACAGCCAGAGCTAATCTAGTAAATATTTAAAATTACGGGCAAAGTTTCTTTTAAGACAATCAGTAATCTAACCTAATGCAGAATGGGAAATGGAATGAATAGGGTAAAGTATGAAACTTTTCACCTGTTCACTGTATATGTTTACAACAGGGACTTAAAGGTCCCTGGTTTACATAAGCAAACGTGAGAAATATTTTTTGTATTAAAGTAATTGATGAGATAATTAGACATTGTACAATAAAGCGGTTTATACATGAAGGTTCTCCCCGGATTATATGTTGGGAATTTTCGTGATGCTAAGGACACCAATCAGCTGAAGACAAACAACATCACCCACATCCTCTCCATACACGACAATGCAAAGAAACTGAGAGATGTAAGTCTATACTCTATAATATTTATATATTGTAGATGTTATAATACATAGTGTAATTACAAAATGGTTGTTACTTTGACATTTGAAAAAAAAATATATGGTTCTAATAAAAGGTCCAGCACAATCTCTTGATTTAGCTATGTAGCTTAAATTAGCTATATAGTTTATTAAGCTATTCAGAATAGCTTGATAAAGCTATTTATATGCAGTTTTTTCACAAAAATGTATCTTGTTAAAATAGACAAAAAGACACTAGTATTTGACAATTCTTATATGTACTATATACTATCGAAAAAAGCCACCCAGATCAAAGATAGTTCTTGAATTGCAGCTTTCGTATACTTTAAAGCATAATATGTTTTTGCCATAATCCAATTGTTTGGATAACTGTACACCACCTTGTGTGCGTTGAGGTGTGCATAAGTATGATTGCTTTACATTGTGCAGAGTTATCTTGTTGACCATAATTGACCTCCTTCAAAATTTCACTGAAGAAGTGCCTGTGTGGTAACAAATCAATTGTTTTGTTTATATAGCCCAAAACTTTTAGGACTTTGAGTACATGTACACTACAAAGTCTGTCAAGGAGATGCAATTTGATGAGCAATTTTTTTATATGAATTGTTTTCAGAGGAGCTCAAGGTTGAATACTATCACTGAACCAAGGTTCTACTTTTTTGTTCATGTTCATGCTGAAAAATAACACATTTAAGAAAAAAGTGTGTTAAAATTGCTAAATCAAGCATCTATATAGTTAATTCAATCTATATAGCTAAATCAAGAGATTGTATCAGATCTGAATAATGCTGCCTGCCTTGTCAGAGATTCACTCAGTTGCTGTTCTGTCAATGATCTACTATTTTCATTTATCATAAATCTAAAGTTTGTCCTCAAGATATTTTTTTTTAAATATTGATTTAAAATTAAAGACTGTCAATTGATGAAAATTAAATTTGTATTTGTTTCACAATTAGGATATAGAGTACAAATGTATACAGGCCAGTGACACACCTAATCAAGATTTGGCTCAGTTTTTCTCTGAATGTATTGATTTCATTCATGTTGCTCGGATCAATGGAGGGAATGTTCTGGTCCACTGGTAAGAACCCAAATTTAAACTTAAGTTTATTAAATTTAAAAAATAAATGAAAATGTTATAAATCTACAATAACAAATGGAATAACTATAATAAATGTTAATAAGATGATGTTTGGAAATTTCTGCAGACATTTCCTTGAAAACATCATATTGATATATACCATGAAGGTATGAGGCTTTGTCAGGAAAGAATTCAACTTGTATGATAATTGCTACTTTAGAAAATGTGCCAACTAGAAAATTTATTATCTGTTTTATTAACTTCCTTTCATGGTTCTGTGATTTGATTAACTATCATGATTTTATGTTTAGTTTGGCGGGTGTATCCAGAAGTGTGACTGTAACAGCAGCCTACATGATGACTGTTACTGACTACGGATGGAAGGACTGTCTCAATGCTGTCAGAGGTGCCAGGACATACTCAAACCCAAACTTTGGCTTCCAGAAACAGTTACAAACTTACTATGCTGAAAAAGTTACTATGGTGATTACAAAACACTTCATTCTTAACATGTACTCTTATCTGTATTAAATGTAAGAATGCTTTTGGATCAAAAGATAACAATTTTAAAAAATGTAAAAACATAACATATCTTGAAAATGAAGACTACTTAAACTGTGTTCATAATTTATCACATTTCAAAAAAAATATTGATGCATGTGATAAATAGAGAGAAATCATATTTATTATGTATCTACATTAATTATTTTGAAGGAAAGAGAAAGAATAAAATCTACTTTTGAACCTGTTCCATACAATGACAATGAAGAGATGCGATATCTTCTGGATGCTTTTCAAAAGTTTGTTTTACATGGAGACCCAAACAGAGATGATGGGTTGTACAGTCTGCCTCATAAGGCATACAAAGAACGGCCAAAGGGAATAAATATAGACTCAAGCAGTGAGGAAGGAAGTGGATCACATAGTGCTGAACTGGACGAGGAGTCCCAGAATAACCAGGTAAGTACTACTCAGGAACCTAACTCTGTAGGACAGCAACCCAGGGAGAACCAGGATGTGTTGAAGCAGAACCAAAGGTGTGAAGAGCCAGATGAAGATTCAGTGAATGAAAACCAAAAAACTGAAGAAGCAGACATTGAAGACACAGTAAACCAAAATAAAGAACCCAGCAATATATCAAAAATTTAATGAAAAATGTATTTATTACTTTATTGAAGATGCACTTATCTATGCAGTAATGCTATGCAAAATCAGTATTTTATTTATTTGATACATGTACATCCATACATGTGATATATCATGTGATATTTTTCCTAACACAAATCTGGCATGATTTTGATCTCATTTCACAAGTACAGTTAAACTTCGGTATCTCAAACACAGATATCTCAAATACCATGGATATGTCAAAGTGATTTGGAAGTCCCAAACTCTTTTTCTTAAAGCATTTTACCCTCAATATCTCGAACCCTCAGATATCTTGAAGTTTTTTCTTGGTCCCATCAAGTTTGAGATAACGAGGTTTGACTGTAAATAAACTCATATTTGACATAAATACCATCAATTGGTATAATTTGAAAAATGTCAATGAAAGTTAACCCTTTAGTCCCTTTGTTTACTCAGTACATACACAAAATTTGGATGTGAATTTGAAATATGCATGGCCACAAGAATGTGATTGTCTATGCTGGAAATCTGTGCTTGAAAGCACAAAATAGACCTGGGATCTTAGTCCTGGGCAGTTCAAAAACTTAAATCAGGTGATAACTGGATTGGGGGTGATTGGTACATGTAATGCATCAAAAGAATGATTTATTTAATATTAGAAATATATAGTACTGTTAGTTAAAATAAAAAATAAACATCAAAAAGCTGTATCAAGATCAATTTTTTTTAATTTGAAAAAGAGATGAAAACAAATGGAGGATAGCAGAATACTATATATATAATCAAAATACAGGTAATAAACATGGTCAAAAGCCATCTTAAAGTTATGACCACTCAATAAATGTGATGTATTATTTATTTACATGTAGTTGGCAAGAATCCAAGAGGAATCACATATCTGTATTTCTTGTTTATTAAGAATATATCAGTGCATGTCTACAGTTTTTACATATTTTTGTTAGACATTTTTATATTTGTTTTTACATCTGATGTACAGAATTGAAAATGTAATATGCATGCAAAAGTATGTGCCAATAAATAAATGTACTTAAGTTTGTCAGAAAAGTAGTATTCAGTTTGTCAGAAAAGTAGTACACTGTATTCATATTAATGTACAAAGATGATTTTTGACACTTACTTGCAACATAATTTTGATTTGTTCAGGCAAGCCAGCAAACCATTTTTGAAACACAAGCAAGAACTGCATCTTTGACCTCCTTTTATTTCAAGTATAGTTACATAATGTGATAATTATACACCAAGAAGTATATCAGAAACAAGGGAACAGATAGTTATGTTAAAGTAACCCAATGAGAGAGATTGGAAACGTCCAGCGCATTCCATTATGTTCTTTCATTCTCCTCCAAAACACCTGCTATATATTCAATCACAAAGGGACATTTAAACCCCTTCCCTTTGACAATTTTACGATTAAAGCCTTAGAGTGAAGTGAAGTGCGGCTTTTCTGGTATGATGTAAGGTGAAGAGTGACTTTTTGGCTAGATTTCCGTTTTTGGACGAAGTATGACTATTGCTATGATTTGCACCTTGGAATGAGGTGTTGTGAGACTATTGCTATGATTTCCGGCTTGGAGTAAGATGATATGAGATTATTGCTATGATTTCTTTCTCAGAATGAGGTGATTTAAGACTGTTGCTATGATTTCCGGCTTGGAATGAGGTGAAGTAAGACTATTGCTATGATTTCCGCCTTGGAATGAGGTGAAGTAAGACTATTGCTATGATTTCTGTTTCGGAATGTGGTGAAGTGAGACTATTGCTATGATTTCTGCCTTGGAGTGAGGTGAAGTGAGACTATTGCTATGATTTCCGCCTTGGAGTGAGGTGACGTGAGACTATTGCTATGATTTCTGTCTCGGAGTGAGGTGAAGTAAGACTGTTGCTATGATTTCTGCCTTGGAATGAGGTGATGTGAGACATTTGCTATGATTTCTGTCTCGGAGTGAGGTGAAGAGTGACCTTTCTGGCAGGAGCTGTAAATGTTCGAGTCACGGTCTCCAAATGTTCGGAACTTCCAGGTGGCAAGGAGATCCGAAAGTTCTGAATTAGCTGTTTGAAATATAGATTGTTTATGTCTTATTGTATAAGATTGAGTGAGGTGTTATTACGATAGAGAAAAATACTCCGCAAACAATTGTACTTTTTATATGCTCCGCCCTCAATATTGCTGGGGCACATAGTGTTTGTCATGTGTGTTTTCCATCCTTCAGTCCTCCCATTTGTCCGTCCGTCCGTCATTCTTAATGTTTTGCCGAGTGACTATCATGATTTTTTAAATTATTTTTTTTAAATCAAAACACACACACTGATACATAATGATGGTAACTATTCAACCGAGTCATAATTTTCTGACCTTGACCATCCCTTCTACCTTGACCCCACTATTCCTCATTTTGCATTTATCTTACTATCATTCTAATGAGAGCCTGTCATCTCCATAGGCACTTCTAATTTCGTTTGTTTATTGTTTAACGTCCCTCTCGAGAATTTTTTTACTCATATGGGGACGCCACCACTTGCCGGTGTGGAGAGCTGCAAATTTTGAACTACATGTATACTCGGCACTCAGGGCCATTGAGCAGTGAGGAACCTTTTTCGTGCCAGCACCTACTACGACACGGGACCTCGGCTTATACTGCAGACCTGTTTACTCTTACGATTTCGCCGTATTTTGCACGGATTTTGTGTCCAAAATATGTCTCACGTTTTGCTATAATGAAAATACGGAAATCGGAAAATCCTTTCATTTGGATTTTAGCAGCTAGTTTTCGTTTTTATGTCTCAGTTTGACCCTTTTTAATCGCTAAAAAAGAGAAAATTTTCTAACACTTAAGTGATTTCGGGTTGCCAAAACGCAGTGGTTTAAAAATGACAGAAACCCCTCGAAAGAAAGCAAGGTATTATCTTTTTCTTTGTTATTAGACCATGTTCATTTTTGTTAATCAGAAATGTAATTGTTCTCTAGTAATATATGTACAATCGATGAAAATTAAAATCTTACGGGGAAATGCCAAATCTCACTGACAAATCTAATAAAAAATACTGAGAGACAACAATATGGGTAAACAGGTCTGATACGGTCTTATCCGAAGGACCGGTCTCCACGTCCTACGGTTGGATTCGAACACGCGACGTAAGGATTAACTCCTTACTCCGCACTGCGCCACGCGGGCGACTTCTATAATTTCGTAATGACGAAACGATAAACCTATATAGGTCTATGCCACTATGCTATAAAATCAGTTGATTTTATAGTATAGAGGAGTGGACCTGTAGGCTAAACTTATCATTTCGTCATTTACAAAATTAGATGGCGACTATGGTAACTACGCTTGATCGATTGTGTTAAGTTGATTATCATATACAGTAAAATCCCAGTCACATACAAAAGCAACCAACGGCGGACGTTTTTGAATCAAAAATAGGATTCTTTGGGCGACAGTCGGCAGTTCATCGGGAGTTGTTCATCGGGTATCGCCTTTCCCGATTATGGCCCTTTTTTGTCGGCCGACCAATTTTGTGTCCGTCGAGCCAAGTTATATTTTTTTCTGTGTCGTTGGCTGATTCCTTCAATTGAAGCAGTCGTTGAATAGTTCATCGACCAACCTTCGACCATCGTCCAACCATCGGCAGACAGATTGTTATGTCGGTCGGTCGACATTTAGGGTCTGGATTTTCGTAAATGTCGGTCGACGGTAAAAATCAAAGTGCGGCTAAGCGAACGATGATCGGGCGACGGTTGGCCGACCGACTTATAAATTTTTAATTTCTAGGAATTAATTTGACTACTTTGCGTCGCCCGATACTAGTGTCGACCGATTATGTTTCTTAGTTGACACTACGAGCAAAATTTGGTCGCCGACCATCGGCTTGAATGTGACCTAAGAATAACCAATTGGTTATACTCGTGTGTGAACAACACTCTCGTCTGATGCATAATATCTTGGTAAAATTGTCGAAATTAATGGTGTTTTAAGAGAAAGTCTTTTTGGAAGTTCTTTATTCTGTTTTTCGTCCAATGTAGAAAAATAATGTTAACCCGGAAGGTCTTGTGCAGGTGAACATATTAAGTTGGTATGATTTCTACAATGTTGAATTTCAGCTAATCAGAGGGCTGGGGATAATTCTTATCATTATTCAATCAAATAATAAATATAGATATTATACCGGTATTGTCCAAGGAAAACATTATTCAAAGCTTCATGAATATATATTTACCTACCTTAATCGTTAAGACAAGCATTTCTGTCTCCGCAAATCTTTGTCCAATACAGCTGCGGGGGCCAAAGCCGAATGGCAGGAATGCGAATGGGTGGGTATGTTTCACTTCCTCGTCAAGTGTGCTCTGTGTTTTGTCTCGTCTGAGGAACCTCTCTGGGATATATTGATGTGGGTGTTTGTAAAACCTTGTATCTTTGCTAATGTTGTTGGATGCTATCAAAATTGGTGTCTATAAAAATAAATAAATGGTAAGATTCCCTCTAATACGTCAAACTAATTGAAATTAAAATACATGTACTTGACTACGAGCACAAAATTAAGACTTGCCTTTTTGGGAATATGATATCCTGCTACGCAACAGTCATTGTCGAATATTCGAATACTTCCAACGTTGATGGGGAAATTCTTTCTAAGATTTACATACAAAAAGTTGATCATAGTCTTGCATGTATGTCGCCACTTAGTATGTATATATACCTGTATATATAAGTGCTTTAAAAATGGCCGATTAAGCTGGAATGCTACACCAAAATTTTATTTAATGGACTTCGATGATTAAGACAATTCTTTTGAAATATAGTTTCAGCACAGGAAGATTGATATTGGTTCTCAATTACATGTATTATAAATGAATTATTTTTTGTATTTTTCAAAGAAAAATTAATAATGCATAAAAGATGTCTTACAGATCCACTATATAAAATTTTGGTGTAGCAATTCCTCCTTATTTTTAAAAAAGAGACTGGGTGGTCAACAAATTACCGAACAGATCCTCCTAGAAATATGAAGTATGATTTTTCTACCCATTATTTATTATTTAGTTAAGGGAAAAACAAGAGGCCCAAGGGCCTTAGCGGTCACATAAGCATACTATAACGCTGTAAAGAATCCACAGAAGCATGAAATAAAAAAAAATAAACTGATATAGGAAGCTATGTTGCCCAAAAGCAAGAAAAATAGGATGATCAGGGATCAACAAAAACAGTTAAGAAAGAAATCGTAAAGTACGGTCTATTTACTTGCCTGACTTGCCCCCATTTGTCACTATCACCATGCAGAATAAACAAAACAATAGTGCCTGAACACTTTTAGTAAGATTACACAGCCCCACCATAACACTACAACCCCTGTCCCATGGGTCATGAAATTCACAATTTTGGAATGCACACTTGCTAACCATAACCATGTACATGTATTTAGTTAATCTACTTAATACCCAAGAGTAGAGAGAGAAAAAGAATACATTTTCATTATACATACATGTAATCAATAGAGCCCCCCCCCCCCAGCACCTGACCCTGGGGCTACAGAGATTTCATAATTTTGAAAGAAACACCCTTGCTCACCACAACTTCGAACTTACTTTATCCGGTAAATACCCAAAAGCAAAGAAGAATTTTCACTATATAATCAATACAGCCCTTACTAAACACCAGAACCTCTGACCCAGGGGCCATGAAATTCACAATTTTGTAACAGCTAGGCAACCTTGCTCATCATAACTATGCACTCACATGCATTTTGTTTGCTTAAAACTCGGGACAGAGTTCTTCTTTTCCAGGAGGTTTTAATAGTTTGAAAATGACCAGTTTTTAAATAACAAAATTTGTCCTTTGTTTAATGAGTGTTTTCTTGAAATTGAAATATAAACTCCTTTTTTCTTAAAATGAGTATAAATTATTTTTTCAGCGGAATGAAAGTTATTTATAAAACTGTACACGATAATTGACAACGTAAAATGGAATTCGAAGAGAAAAAGTCTAATGTTTTATGTGCAGACGTTTTACCTCATAGATTCCCTGAGACAAGCCTTTAGATAGGGTAATTTAGAAAGCGTCTCTGTGTTCAGATTTTCATGGCCAATTTTTGCCATAATTTCCAGGTATATTTTTTCCTGTTTGTCTGAATGGACTGCTATTTCGTGCCAGAGGAGAACCAAACTGTTTGAGGTCTGCAAAAAAAAAAAAAAAAAAAAAAAAAAAAAAAAAATAGAAAATAATAATCACTTGCAATCATTATTTCATTGATTGCAAAGACAAGAAATGAAGGTATACATGCAATAAAGTTGTCATGTTTCATAAGCAAGAATTAGTATTGCATGTATACACAGAGTTTAATCGGCTCTTTTTCTATTTTATATACCAGTATCTATGGTTGCATTAAAACATGTATGACCTTCACAGACAAAAAATGACGTCTATTTTGATATTTCTTGAACATCTATATGAGTTTGAGTATACATTTAAAATACTGTGGAATCATCAAAATTCGTGGGGGCCAATTTTCATGGGGACGTAATTTTGTGTTTTCACTCATATCTACAAATGGAAATATGGCTTTGAAACTTTATTATACCCGGTATTAATTTGTGGAGGATGTAAATTCATGGAAGAAGGGTATCCACGGATTCCACGATTATTCAGCCACCACGAAATCCAATGATTCAACAGTAAATCTAACAACGAAAAGGATTAGAGAATCGGAATGCTTATTACCAGCCTCACCAACACTCATCCCCTCCCATATAAAAAAGCTGATTCTCATCAGTTTAAATTCCCTCGAACTTAAAATAAATTAAAAGTCTTTGAGAGCCCTAAGTAAATTAAATGTCTTTGAGAACCCTAAAGATATTCTAACTCAACAACACAGGGTAAATTACATGTACAATGATTGCCTACCGAGTCAATGCCCCCGCCGAAGAGATTTGTGATGAGGATGTTTATTTTGTCTTTGTTCAGACGGCTATCTGACAACATGGACAGCAGTAGATTGGGTTCCGAGGACTGACCTTGTAAGTCCACTGTGGACCTTTCTCTTAGTCTCTGCATAGCAGTTTCAATCTCCTTTTCTGTAATACTAAGATTAAGAAGAAGAAAGTTAGGATGTCGCTATTTTTCCTTGAATCGATTCCCACTTTTAGGTTAACTGGTTGAGAAAAGTTATACATGTATTACTTCTTGCACATGTACATGTAGTAAGTAGTAGTTACGATTAAAAATACTAAGAAACTCATTGTAAAAGACGATATCATTGCTTAAATAGTTATTTTTCACGACAGATTTTACCTATGCAATTTTAGCACCGCCTCCTCGAACCTCTTGTAAAATGGTGACTTGAAATATTTGTATGGTTTGAAGAATTTTCCTGCCTCAGACGTGGATGTGAAGATTGTATTAAGGTCTTCCATTCTGACTACTGGTTGACCTTCCAGGCACCCCAAGCGCCGGTTGAAACACAACATCCCCATACCTTGTTCATATATAGAAGAGTTAAATGAATGTTTGCTACAATGTTTTTATTAGATAAAAAGCATGCAGTAGATAAAATATTTGCAGTTTGATACATCGATCATGCTTACAACGCGAATCTAAGCTATCTGAAGGCTAAAGTTCCCTAACGGAAAATGACAATCTTTTGAAGAATTGATCCAACCTCTACCAAGAGTCGTCGTTCCTCACCGCCAAGACACGTGATGGAAAAAAGCATCCTCTGGTAGAGACCGGAAAAGATCAACTCCGCCGTAATATTCTATAATGCGCGACACTTTCTCTGGAGATCTTTTAATTACTAGATTTGTTTCTTGCAAAATCATCTTTTGTGTTTGATACCTATTCCTTAAGGTAAGGGTAAGAATTACATTCCGTGGCCACACTGACAAGTGTATCAAGACAGTCCTCTATGACCAGAGTATCCTTTAAACTCGCCACAAAATCGTCTGCCACCTGTCCTATCAGGGGTATATGTGAGCGTACGGCAGACGGCTTCAGCATTTGATCCTGGGCTGGCTTCCGGAGGTTCCACCAAGCCTCTCCTTGTCTAAGAGAGAAAAAAAAACAGTAATTCAAGTTTGGTTTAAATAATGAGCATCCTCTGTGATGGATAGTGACTTTTAAAGACTCTATACTTTAGTGAGATAGTTTTGAAATTGTTAACTACATGTAATTGAAGAATTGATTTAGCTGGGTTGCAGCAGCTAGCCTCGTCGTCCTACATGGATAGCTTTCTTACACTGATCGTTCAACTAGCCGCTAGATTCAAATCTTGGATACAATATTTCGGTAACAATTCAGAAAAGATGTATGTATATTATAAACATTTTATTCCTAGATATGGAAAAACACCAGCATATCTTGTACATGTGAGTCTCGTGCGTGCGTGTGATGCAAACAGAAATTTGGATTTGGTATACCTAGCATCAAATTTCATTACGTATAAGGAGTGCGGAATAGTATTTACTTTACGTCTAATCTTCACAACGTCAGTGATCCTAAGTCCGTTCGTGACTACTGGACACAGCCACGAGTGGACTTACGACCCCTGATGTTGGAAGGATTTGAGGCTACGTAACTGTTATAAATTTGAACGCACTTCAGTTCCTCTTTACATCAAAATTAGTTTGAAATGTTTACTGGCTTTTTTTATGAAAAGACGGTGATCGATAAAAAGTTTATATCTCAAAAGTGTGAGAAACAGTCATAAACCTATTAGATCGGAAAGTCTGTATTTCATGTATAATTATTATAATTATACGCTCCGCATGACCCTTAAAAATTTTACTGAATTATTATATTAAAATCGTACAGTGTGCCCAGTCCTTCTTCTTTGTTGTTCCGAATACCGAACACTTTCACAATTTCCACTTCCGGTCGGTAAGGGTACTTGACTCTTACACTTAAAACCTCTTTTGCCAGGTTTGGACTTGATATGACCACAATCCATCGGAAGGCACCTCTAAATCTGTAAATATCGCCATATTTCCTCTGGAGAACACGCAACAAGTCATTGATATTCCCAAATCTTTGGTCGGCTAAAACAAAAAAATGAAATGAAAAAATACATAGAGGATATTCAATGTTTTGTAGATGAATATGGAATTTATTTCATGAGTGGGACAGGATTTTTTGATATTTTCACGAGTGCGAAGCACGAGTGGAAATATCAAAAAATCCTGTCTCACGAGTGAAATAAATTCCATATTCATCTACAAAACATTGAATTTTCTGTTTATTACATTTTCTTTGATTTTCCCTTTGCCTCTGTCTTTTCTTAACACAGTGCCATAGGCTCAAGACGTCATAGTTGAGCGGTTGAGACGTCATTACTTAGCAGTTGTGTGATTGAAAACATTACATAGCATGGATTTTAGCAACATATTTACTTAATGCCTATGGCTGATCAAAATTCTGAAAAAGATATATACTAGGACTTTGATAAGTAAGTTAGAATTGTAATCAATTACTAAACAAGAAGTGCTGTTAGATTTGAATACATATGATGCACCTGTTAAATATCTTACTGAAAGGTTTGAAGTGAAGAGCTGTCCCTAAAAAGGGAAAGCTGTAGATCCCCCTTGGACCAGGGATCTTGTTAAAGGTCTCTCCAAAGCTGGGGTTCTCCTGGACTACACACCCGCCGTCTGATCTCATCCGCCTCGTTAATGTGAACAGTCTTGAAGAGTACAGCAGGCCTACTCTACGAATCAATTATTCGGCAAAATAAATAAATAAATCAAAAATAAAATAAAAAATCGTGTAGATTTAACATAATATTGCATTCAAGAGAAGATTAAGCGGGTAAAATGAAGAATTTTTATCGAAGAGTTTGAAAATGAACTGTACGTTTTTCGATAAGTGAAAGTTTATTCAAAATCACTACTTTAATTTTTTAAAAAACAGAACTAAATTAACAAACAAACAAAAACAACCGAAACAAAATCAGAACAAAGTGACAACATTAAATGTACCTTTTCGATATCATAACTGTAAGTCAGGATCTTCTGAAAAATGTATTGTTACGTTTAATATTAATTTTTACAAATGAAATGAATGAAAATAAACTCTTTTGTAATATTTTCAACAGAAATTCTGTAATTTATTTATTGAATAAGAGATATTTTGTCACAGTGTGAAAGAATATCAAAGTGATATTCTGGTACAGGGTGAAAGAATACTAGTATTAGAAGTGCGAAAAACTCGAGATTTTCCTTCCCATCACGAAAAGTGTTGTAAAAATACATCCCAGACTGGCCTGTTGTAAGATTGAGAGAGAAAATAAACAAACCTGACAGGGTCATGAGGTAAAAAATATTGGTACCAAATGAAAAGTTTTGTCACAAGGAATACATATATGAAATATGAAAGCCCTATCACCAAACGCTCAAAAGTTACAAGCAATGTTGAAGTTTTATTTCAAATGTAGGTCAAACTCAAAGGTGAAAGTCATGAGGTCAAAAATGTTGGTACCCAAAGATAGGTTTTTTCACAAGGAATACACGTGATACATAAAAGCTCTAGCAACCACAATTCAAAAGTCATGAACAAGGTTAAAGATTGGTAAAATTTTGCAAAAGTAGGTCAAACTCCAAGGTCAAGATCAAGAGGTCTTTGGTACCCAAAGAAAGGTCTTGTAAGAAGGAATACGCATGCGAAATTATGGAAGCCCTAGTATCAACCACTAAATGTTATGGGCAATTTAAGGTTAAAGTTTTATGGACAGATTAACAGACAGACGGACGGACCTGATAAAAACAGTTTTAGGATAAGTAAATTAAGGTAAACAGCTCTAAACTTTTATTAGTTGACGAAAACATTAGTAAAGAATTAGTAAACTATAATTTACAACCGTAAAACATAATTTTACAGTTAATGAACAAGGCTTTTTGATTGTAAACTATAGTTTACGCTTCCTTATTCAAGGTCATATCTCAGAGATCAGAGTCATCGTGAGATGCTATAAATCTCTGATTGACTGCTAAACATTGTATAAATCATAAGTTACGTTCACCTGCACGAGACCTTCCACGTGAACATAATTTTTTTTTCTACATTGGGCTAAAAGAAATCCTCTTAAAAGCCTCTTACAATTAGTTCTGTACGTACTTTTCTCCGACGTCAGCATCTAATTTATGTGGAATTATATTTACTATACATTGTACATACCTAAAGGTACCGGAAATGGTAACACTGTCGAATCACTGGTTCTCACTAGAAATGATTTTTTTAAGTCTTGGTTATCTGCCGAGGTCCGTCCATTATGATGACCAGATCTAACACAAGTGCCTGTTTGTTCTATCTGATAGTGGACACGCCATTGTTTGCAAATCAAATGCGGTTTTTACTGTGATAAGTAGAACTGCTCGACTGGAAATTGCTGCAGAATTACAGCGTATCTATCACAAGAACATATGCATGGATATGAATGTAAACTCTCAAACATGGAAGAAATTTGTAGCATTTACAAAAGAAAACATAATTTCATATTTATCATTATTTCATTCGCCATATCGTCACTAACTTCCTTAACCTCTACACGCAGCCTCAATTCTGAGATCAAACCTCAGGTTTCTGTCCACATTCTTAAGACACTGTCGACTCTTACAATGTTCTATGTAAATTGTTCAACATTTTGGGAAATTGAGGTTAAAGTTCACAGACCAATATCTTTACACTTATAGCCTTTGGACTTTGGAATTAGCCATAAATAATATGCTTATCTATGACATTGAAAATGGAGATAGAACATTCTACCTGATATTTTTGTGCAATTCATTTAAAATGAAAATGTCACTGGCGATAACATTTATAATGGAAATAAACTTCTTGTATGTTTATTAGTGAGGTTAAGCTGGATATTTATTGAAAGGATGACGGCACTTAAGGAAATATGCGACAAAATAAACTTTCGAAAGGAGCATTTTTTTTTCTTTTAAGTGCAGGAATGGTCACCATTCAAACTGCAACTTTACATAATTACATTAAATTAAAGTTTGTATTTACAAAGTACGAATCTGTTTTCATAGGCGGGGGTCATCTAGAATTTCTTGAATCTCTGAAGGATAATGAGGATCTCCACTCTTTTACACACTAAATACATAGCGTCTATTATTCTCCGTTTTGTAGTAGTTATATATTTGCATACATGTATTTATGTATGCAAAGAGCTAGGTTCACTTTATGCATAAAATGGCCCTGTAGATATACCAATTTATAAAATAACACTCTATGTTCCATTTCAAACATCAAGATAAAGTAGAGACTTAGTGCTTTCATTTCCTATTAAAAATTTTCTCCTGAAAGTTCAAGTATTGGAAAACAGGCTTTATGAAATTGCAATGTTCTTGAATTTTAAGGAAAACAGGTATATTTGAGTACTTTCAGAGAAGAAAAATAATATGAGCGCACTTCTTGATCCAAAAAATAAAACATGTTTTGTAATCCTCAGAAACAGTTCTATCATTTGATGAATACACATTTTAGATCAGAGGTTGCGCTCTATATGAAATATCAAAAAATTGCTTAAAAAATTGGCCGTTTTGTTGGATTTTTCATGATATGAGGAAAATGACGCAATTCATGACGTCATAATGCAATTACTAGCCAGAAAATTACGTCATTTTTGATAGATTCGCAATCACCAAGGGTCTAAATGATATTTAAAGTATTGTCAACTAAAACAAAGCAGTTTCACTTTTACAGAAATTTACAGGGTCTAAAAAGGCCCTAAGTGAACCTTGTTCTTTGTCAAAAAAGATCAACAGACAAATATGCTCTTGGTTAAAAAGTGAAAAAAAATCTCTGTACATTCGCTCTCTCTGTTGTAACCAAGCGTTGTGACATGCTGAACAATATAATTCACCGTGTGATTTCTTAAATTAGGTAACTTTGTGAATACTAAATTCTTTCAAGTGACTTATAACTAAGGTAGCATGTTATGTGCTAGCAAGGACATTGTGTTCAAACACTTCAAACTGTCAGGCACTGATTTACAATCACCTACGTGGACGTGGTCATATTTATAATTTGTTAATTTCGTTTTAGAACCTTTGTAAATACTAGTGTAAGCGACTGAAAAAGGCCCAAAACATGGCGTTAAGTGCAGTCATTCTTTATTATACAGTGTGCCTTATTTTCTTTACGTCTGGAATTCTGCATATAAAAATAGATAATGATTATACAGTTCTCTTCAAACTAATTTTTATGTCTTTTGAGAGGATATGTCCATTTCTGATGGTACTACAATGGTAATAGCTTTTGAAACTCAAAATACTCAAGTGACAAACCCCATTCTTCACCAATCAAGTTTTAAATTTATAAAATCCTCATACTGAATTAAGAAATATATTCTTGTTTGTTTATAGAATATCATTAAAGTGTTACAGTAATATGAATGTATGCAACACAGCGATCCCTTATTTTTCATCGTCTTCTATTGATCAGATCATGTGATTGCTGGTAAACATTATGATTGGACATAAAGAACTTAAAACATATATTCTTATAATTGAAAAATGCATCGAGTGGAAATAGAACAAACTGTTACTGTTATTGCCTTCTTTATTTTTGAGCAATGGAAAGAAATGATTCCATAAGTACATAGATCTCAACGAGCAGATTCCACGATATGCATAACTCATTTTTGGCCAGTTTGGTACTTAGAACATTTATTTATAATTCTCAGGCGACGATATATATTTCAGTTAATTAAGCAGGGAAAGCAAGCAATTATTCAAATACAATGTTATCAACTCTATATCAATTTGCTTTAACCTTCAAATCAAGTATAAGGGATCATTCTCTTGAGCTGCTGTATAATAATATACACATCATTTTATTTACAATTGCCAATGCGAATTCCTTTTAATAAAACTACTCCTTTATGGAACTTCTCATTCCCTAACATATCTATTTACAGTCACAAACCCAAAATCACAGTCTGTAATATCGTAGCATTTCAAGAAACCGCCCTCTTTCTCTCCATTTTAATAATAATTTTTCCAATTACCTTTGGCATCAGTATCATATCTCTTACTGCCTTTAGATGCTTTGCAAATTTTGCCTGCTGTTCAGGATATTTTGTACAGTAGATTGCTGCATACCTGTTCCAATATTTATTTGCAGAAGAGAAAGTACAGCTGTATACAAAAGCGAAGATGAGGCCTATACAGTGGGAATCAAATTGACCCTGTTTGCGCCTACAGCATATCGTTGAGTTGTATTTTGTTTCCCACCAATTGTTAGGACATTGTTTTTACACCATTTTTATTACGGATTACTCCGTTTACCTCTGAACAATACAGAGGCCGGGATCACGAGTGTTTGACGGCTCGATAGGGGACGCATACTCCTCCTAGGCACCTGATCCCATTTCTGGTGTTTCCAGGGGTCTGTGTTTTTGCACTGTTCGCAATTCGTATTATGTGTTCGTTATCCTTGGACCTTTTTAACAACCGAGCATTATATCCCTGTTGGTGGTAAGAGGATACTTGTCGCTCGGTTTATATAAAAGATAATTACAAAACGAGTCTATACTTTCTGACACGTCATCCGTTATTAAGGGATATGATTCTGTTGTGTCTATGAGGGACACAGACTCTAACAGAAGGTTTTACTTTGGGACTTAAGAATTTATCATACACTACAGTCATCAG